AACTATGTTATTAAAATAATACTATAACTGCGTTTTTAACTGTTACCCAGGAAATTTTCTTCCTTGCTGATTTCAGAGTTCTCGTTTGGCTTTTCTTCACTGATGAATTGAATCTCTTCTGTCATGGAGTCATGTGACAACAAACATCATTGATATCTTTTACGTTTTTCTGTCTCTCTAATTCTTTCTCTCTCAACTTATCTAGCTTGTTCTTTCTCATGTTTGCATCCAGTACTCTCCTACTGTAGTCTTCATCAACATTTGTTCCCATATATCCTTTCCTATCCAACTTTTGGTTTTCATAAAAATTAAGAAATACTTAATTCTATTAAGACATTTATAAATAAATTATAATTGCTCTAGTCTTTCCTGGAAGATGGCCAAACCATGGAAGGAGTTAAACGTAAATATTTTAAAGGAAATAATATGCTATTACTTAAGTTATTTTAAATCGGAAAAAAAATTTCACTACTAAAAAAGTGTTATTTAATAAACTTACTTTATATCTTCCAGCTTGGCATCATCTGTTCTCAATCTATCAGCAAGAATATCTTTTTTATAATTCTTAGTGGAGATGTCAAAAAGCTGATAGGATTCTGTGAGAAAATCTTTCTTTAACTTTGATTGCTTATTAAGGCTGCTGTTCCAGTTTAGAGAAGAAAATTTAATCAATTTCTTGTATTTTAGATTAAGTTTAATGATTTTGGTCTTTATATTGTACCCAGATATCACAAATTTCTTGCCCCACCCAGCATTATCCCAAATTTTTTTAATCCTAGTTATCAAGAAAGAGTTATAAGGATCTGTACAAACACCATTTTCACAAATAAGATCCTTGTATTTCGATTTCAATTTGCAACCAACATTAGTAGAAGTGTGTTTGTATTTTACTTGTGACTCGCGAAGGATAAATTGATAGTATCTTAGAATATCATCATTAGACGGAAGCTGTCTCTGAGGTAAATCCCTCAGTGGGTACTTCAATAGGTAAATATACCTCAACCTTTCTGTATTTTTCCGTTTTTTCTTATTCTGTCCTATCATCTTCTTTTTTTTAGCTGTTCTACCCATTTTTATATGAATTTCGAAATAATCAGTTTTTTAACTAAGTTTATACTCTTGAATTAAAAATGAAGTCGTTATTCTCTCTCGTATCATATTTTATCTAAGTTTACCGTTAAGGCTTTTATAACCGTTTACACAAGAATTTCTTTGTGCACAAATTAGAATTCCTCTGTGCACAAATAATTCCATTTAGAAATTTTTTCCTTCAAAAAAAATTTCTAAATGGAGTTATTTGTGAACCAATCCATGAGGAATTATACCAACTAATAATATTGTCCAGAGGGAATTATATCAATCGCTAACAATGTTCATAGGGAATAATCCTATTCTTTAATAATGTCCTAGGGGAATTATTTGAGTACCAATTAATTACATCATATTAAAACCTATTGAAATACTAGATCTTTTTATGTATATACACATGTGTACAATACCATAAAACTCAGAATTTATATCTATCACTTCTAGTCATTAAAAAATAAAAAATAAAAGATTTTGGTAACTATTTAGGACCTATAGAGTGGAGATCAATGAAGAGCACATTGAAATTTTAAAAAAAATGTACTAAAAAGCAGGGGTTCAGGCACAACAAATGAAACACAACACAAAAAGAAAGAAACTATAAGCTACCTGCTGAAATACTTAGATAAAAATCTCATGAAATGTTTCTATTTCTTTGTGTTTTATTGTGCAAACATCAAATTAATGCTGATGAAATTGAAAAATATACCAAAGAAACAGCAGAACTCTACATTTCTCTGTACCTATGGTTCCCAATGCCTCAAATGTACATAAAATTCAAGAAAAGTCTTTAATGAATATGTTATGTGAAGATTATTTTGCAGTTGAGATCCATTTATTAGCTCTCTATGAAGGAGTTCAAGATGTATTTAAGTACTTTAGCTTAATGAAGATTGTATTAAACTTTCATTGTAACTTTTTTTAATTTTAAGTTGTGTATATTTTTACTCTGATTTCGATAAAATATCTAATAAATGTTTCTTTGTTAATATAAAGGTGTCTACCACTTAACAAAGATTTCGATAAAATATCTAATAAATGTTTCTTTGTTAATATAAAGGTGTCTACCACTTAACAAAGATTTCGATAAAATATCTAATAAATGTTTCTTTGTTAATATAAAGATGTCTACCACTTAACAAAGATTTCGATAAAATATCTAATAAATGTTTCTTTGTTAATATAAAGGTGTCTACCACTTAACTCTGATTTCGATAAAATATCTAATAAATGTTTCTTTGTTAATATAAAGGTGTCTACCACTTAACTCTGATTTCGATAAAATATCTAATAAATGTTTCTTTGTTAATATAAAGATGTCTACCACTTAACAAAGATTTCGATAAAATATCTAATAAATGTTTCTTTGTTAATATAAAGGTGTCTACCACTTAACAAAGATTTCGATAAAATATCTAATAAATGTTTCTTTGTTAATATAAAGGTGTCTACCACTTAACTCTGATTTTGATAAAATATCTAATAAATGTTTCTTTGTTAATATAAAGGTGTCTACCACTTAACAAAGATTTCGATAAAATATCTAATAAATGTTTCTTTGTTAATATAAAGGTGTCTACCACTTAACTCTGATTTCGATAAAATATCTAATAAATGTTTCTTTGTTAATATAAAGGTGTCTACCACTTAACTCTGATTTCGATAAAATATCTAATAAATGTTTCTTTGTTAATATAAAGGTGTCTACCACTTAACTCTGATTTCGATAAAATATCTAATAAATGTTTCTTTGTTAATATAAAGGTGTCTACCACTTAACTCTGATTTCGATAAAATATCTAATAAATGTTTCTTTGTTAATATAAAGGTGTCTACCACTTAACTCTGATTTCAATAAAATATCTAATAAATATTTCTTTGTTAATATAAAGGTGTCTACCACTTAACTCTGATTTTGATAAAATATCTAATAAATGTTTCTTTGTTAATATAAAGGTGTCTACCACTTAACAAAGATTTCGATAAAATATCTAATAAATGTTTCTTTGTTAATATAAAGGTGTCTACCACTTAACTCTGATTTCGATAAAATATCTAATAAATGTTTCTTTGTTAATATAAAGGTGTCTACCACTTAACTCTGATTTTGATAAAATATCTAATAAATGTTTCTTTGTTAATATAAAGGTGTCTACCACTTAACAAAGATTTCGATAAAATATCTAATAAATGTTTCTTTGTTAATATAAAGGTGTCTACCACTTAACTCTGATTTCGATAAAATATCTAATAAATGTTTCTTTGTTAATATAAAGGTGTCTACCACTTAACTCTGATTTCGATAAAATATCTAATAAATGTTTCTTTGTTAATATAAAGGTGTCTACCACTTAACTCTGATTTCGATAAAATATCTAATAAATGTTTCTTTGTTAATATAAAGGTGTCTACCACTTAACTCTGATTTTGATAAAATATCTAATAAATGTTTCTTTGTTAATATAAAGGTGTCTACCACTTAACAAAGATTTCGATAAAATATCTAATAAATGTTTCTTTGTTAATATAAAGGTGTCTACCACTTAACAAAGATTTCGATAAAATATCTAATAAATGTTTCTTTGCTAATATAAAGGTGTCTACCACTTAACAAAGATTTTAATTAATAAATGCTTTGAATCTGGGAAAAACTGTTTCTAAAAACAACCAAAAGTTATGTCTAAAATCACTAACGCCTATACACCTTTTTCTATTAGGGTGTTTAGGGTGCCTGCATCTGCAAAAAAATAATAGTAATAAAAAATAAACAAAAAAAACAACAACAAAAAAACAACTATTTTTTTTAAAAAAAGATCTTCATCTTCCTTTTCAGATTGAAATTGTCATCACTGATACAAATTTCAATTTGGAAAAAAATCAGAAAACTTTAAAAATAAAGGAGTTTTTGTCCATTTTATGTCGATCTTGGCCCACTGTGCAATGAAACAAAAAAGGCAAAAAAAAAAGATAAAAAACGCGAGACAAAAAGCATTAATAAAACAGAAAAAGCATTAATAAAACATGACATATCTTCATTGATAATTAAAAAAAAGTATATATATATATATAAATAAAACAAAAGGATAACACCTTAATGCCTTTTAAAAGAAATTTACCTTCAAACCCACTGAATACCTTTGAGCCCCCTGAATAACTTCTAGCTCTTTGAACTTGCGTTCAAAAATCAGCGATCTTGTATTTGACTGCTAGCAATACATGACTTCAAACTCATTAACTGCACTATTCAAACATAAGTTGTTTATATTATATTCAAACAATTCCAACAGCAATAGAAGAATATCAATGAAAGAACATCAATAAAGAAGTTGTACATCATCTGATAAACTGTTACACGGTTACAGGATCAAATATTGAAGAACATGCAACAGGAAATAAGGAAAAAAAAAGAGTTTCAGCATCAATAAAAAAAAAGACGTTACAAAATCTACATTAGCCACCATTGGCAGACTCCCCTTGATATGTAAAGTTGACATTAAAATGAATCTGAACAACCAAAAAGATCCGCCGACAGAAAAGACTAAGTCTCAAATATTTAAGAAACCAAAGTGTGGCAGTGGACATCTGATCTAGTCTTTAAGAAGTTTTTTGAAGTGGCTGCACACATGCCAGTTGTAAACAATATAGCTAAAGGAGTAATGAGTCTTAATAAGAACTACAATGACATTGACAAGCAAAAAGAAAAAATTTATTTTTCAATTTAATAATAAAAAACAAAAATAACCTTGTAGACAATTAAAATCTGTTATTTTGTTTTTACAGATCTATTTTTTATAGACCAACCTTAAATTACAGACCAACCTTAAATTACAGACCAACCTTAAATTACAGACAACCTTAAGTTTAACCTATACTTTTGAAACCTTAAAAGTAAATTAATAATCAACTTTAAATACTTGTTTTTCAGTCGATTTTTTCCAACCAAGCATTAAATTTGAAGATTTGATATCAGCATGAACATACTCTTTGCTGTGGATATATTCTAATGCTTCTATCTAAACAAACTTAATACTTTTAAAACAATGGAAATATAAGTACTAAATTTTTTTTATAGCTTTAATTTAAAGAACATGTATTAAATATATTACAATTCGAAGTGCGAGAGAACAAACGGTCTTTTCAGGAAACTTCATATTACATTGTTTAAAAACTTTTTCTATGTCTGTTCCAAATCGTTCCATAACTAAAAACCTATATTTTATACTATCATAATCAAAAGAACCAGTTGCAATATAACGTGGGATTCCCACAAACATTTTCTCTTTAGATTTTAGCCATTCATCAACTGTAATGAAAAAAAAAAAAAAAAATTAGGTTTAACTTAAAAAATATTAAAAAATTCAGTTTAAATTTAATAAAAATACTAAAAAATATTAAATAAAATTTGACAACCACTAATTTAAAAAAACACACAAATAAAATAGAAAATATTTACTGTACTCGACTTTTGCAACGCGCTGATAAAAAGCAATTTCTCCATACAGTGGCCCGTTTGCATGAGGTTCCTAAATAATGCATTTTTCAAAGCTAAAAACTTAATGAGTTTTAATTTAATTAATGTTTAAATATAATCTTTATATGCAGTAACTATAATTTATTTTATAATTCCTTATTTAAAATTGTTGAGGATCATCACAAACATTTCTCTTTCATATTTAATTACTCTATAGTAGTGACCCAAAGATGAGGATCTGACCCAAGGATGAGGGGTCAATATTATAGAGGAGACTATTGAAACTTTTTTTTCTTTTTACAGAAAAAAACTAATTGGCGTTCAATATCAAGACTTCTTGTATTAAAGACAAACAATCCAAAAATGTATATCTACCTACTATAGTGCATATAGATATATATTTTATCTACCTACTATAGTGTATATAGATATATATTTGCTGACTTGTTTCGCTTACTTTTACCAAACAATTTTTTTGGAAAAAGATGAATTTAATTTTGTTTTTATTGTTTGTAAAATCTGTATTAATCAGTAATAACAACAGTTCACGTCACATGGCATTGTTATTGCTACTGATTGGTGTTTATATGTTTATTTTAAAGCATTGAAGGTAATATGCTTTTTTTATTTTTTTATTATGTAACCTATTGTTAGTGATGTTGCCCTCTTATAAATTGCATCATTTTTGTTATCAAAATATATATAACAAATAGATTATTCAGTCACTTTATATATTCAGTACTTTAACAAAAGCTCACACGACAGTACTGCTCCTTTAATTTTTCTTTAAAAGTCATGGTAATGATTTCTGATTGGTTATTTTTTTTATTTAAAGAAAAAAAATTAACTAATTTGCCCAAATCAAAACCTATAATTGATGTATGCACACTACACTGCATCTATTCCTATATCAATCAATTAATGTAAATGATAAATAGGAATGTAACTTTCAATAAACAACAAAAATGATAAAAAAAACGTAAAACAAAGTACGAAACATTTCCAAATTTTTGTAATTCTTGATAAATAATTTGTTTTAGTAAGTTTTAATTAACTCAAAACATATTCTCTAAAATTTATTTATGAACAAACACAACCTGTCTCATCACATGGGGTGAAATAAAAGTTTAAATTATAAAAGTTATAAAAATTTTCAAGGAAGATGGGAGAGAATTTCAAAACATTAATGTATAAGCAAAAAAAAACTAGATGAATAAAAATTACAAAAATGAAGAAACAGTTATTATAAAAAAATGCAACTTAGCTAAAAAATCATGTGAAACTAAATATTTGGTTAATTGAGCCAGAGATAATAGTTCACTTGAGCAGCAAGTTTTGTAGAAAAACAAGATACAACAAAGATAAGAGAAAGGCTCAGGCTTGGTAGTTAAAGCATATCTAACTAACATTCTAAGCAATCAATACCACTATTAATATGCTTTTGTTTTAAAATAGCATAAATGTATAAAGTTTTCAAAAAATTACTACATACTAGCAAGTATATACTATAATACTAAACACAAGCAAGTATATAATATATTACTATACACTAGAAAGTATATATTATACATAACAAAGTATATACTATACATTAGCAGGTATATACTATACACTAGCAAGTATATACTACAGGAGTGTACTCTCATGGTTGTCTGGTGGCTTGGGACGACTTATTTTCTCCAAGAGCGACTAAAATTTTTAAAAAATGCCTGTCAGTAGCCCGGCAGGAAGACCATACAGTGTGTTACTTACAAAAGTGTGTTTGTTAATAAAACCATATTTTGATCTATAAAGATATTATTCCTTGCCATTATTTAAAAGAAAACTGTAAAAAGCATTTAAAGTAGTATACACTTTAAATGCTTTTTACAGTTTAACAATGAGTACACAGAAAAACCGGAGGGTACACCACTGTACTACACTACTATACATTAGCAACTATACAATACTATACAGTATACTACTATACACTAGCAATACTTCTATACAATAGCAAGGCAATATAATTGGGCAAAAAAATAAATAAAGACAACAATTATTTATAACATGATTTACCAATATAATTTCTGCTCTCTGAGATAAAATGTTGTCAAAAAAAATTTATTTGCAGTTAATATAACTTAATTAATATTAAGTTAATATAATTAAGTTAATATAACTAATAAAAAAAAAAAAAAAGAAGGTATATTTAAAAGAAAAAAACCAATTAAAATTATTCAAGAGTGTTTTATAAATTAAAATTATACAATACAATATTATAGCAAAATTTTGCAATGCAGTGTTATTTCATTCATAAAATAATTTATTTAGTTAATAATTTAATTAGTTAATTTTGATTCATTCAATTAAACAAAACATTAGTTCTTAATAGTAAAGAAATAAGTTTTTATTTCTGAGAAAAAAATTTTTCTCAGAAAAAAAAAAAGCACAAGTAAACTTTCTGTTTATTTTTGGTACTTTTATAAAACATAAGGAAAATATTTCTTTGAATAAATTTTTTCCCATTATTTTTATTTTTTGTTTTTAATTTAAAGAGGTAAATAATTGAAAACAATTAGCAAAAGTATTTATTAATAATAATACTAGACAATATTTAATAATAGACAACACTAGTACAATGGTATAAAGAATGAAAACTTTTTACAAATAATGATCAAATATAAATTTTAAATTTAATTTTAAAGTTAATAATAAAAAAAATAGTAATAAAAAAATAAATAAAGCTTTGGTCAGGGGCATGGTACATTTAAAAAGCCCATGTGAGATTTTATTAAAAAGGTCTATGGGTAATTCCATGTTAATTGACTCAGGCCATGTCACCATACATCTCACATTTTGCTGATTTTTATATAATTGAGAATACTTAGTAAAATAAGAATTCCTTGAAAATTTTAGTTTCAACCTTCAAAAAGATTCTGAAATATGACCATTTTACTTTTAACGGATATTGACTGGGCCTCTCTTGTTCCCTCAAAACTAAAATGTTACTTAGAGATTTCAAGTCACATAACTTTAAAAATATTTGATCTTTTTATTCAAAAAATTGTAACTGGCTTTTTTCAGCCCCTCTCTGATGTCTTGGGCCCTGGATACAATTTTAACATGCATGTTTTGGCACTACAGAAATGTCAAGTTTCAGAGCTCCAGCTAGTTTAAAAAGTAGTGAAAAATCAATTGCAGTGCCATCACACAACAAAATGTATACTTCTTATCATACTCTCCAAAAATCTTACATTTGATTTAAACATGAAGTATTCACTGTTTTATGAAAGATTTATTTTTCATGAAGTTTTGAACTTTTATTTATTTTCATGTTGAAGTTGCTATATAATAGTTGTTATTCTTTTATTCTTTTCAAAAGGAAGATGCAATGAAACCTTTATCTCAAGAGTAAACAAGTAACAGTCGTGAAAACACGGAGAAAGTTTTTGCACTAATATCAACTTTTTATCCTCCCTTTTGAAATCAGTGTAATCAGTGAATCTAGATGACTTAATAAAGTTAAAGATCGCAGGACACGTGTGTAAAAGAAATAAAATAAAGGACTTGAAATTTACTATGACTTGTGTAATGATATTTGATATTGTGAAAATGTGACTGGTTTATTTACTTTGCTTAGGCTTAAGCATGATCTTGCTGTTCATAGATAGCTTATAATAGTCTCAAAGCAGTATCGATTGCTTATACCTTTCTTCCCCAAAACATGGGTGATGTCAATGATGAGAGATGACATTGCAAAAATGGAAAGTAGATATTAAGTACAATGAGATACTGCTATGGTGGGAGATTATGTCTGGTATCTTGTCTGAAAGATAAAAGCATCATCTCATCTCAAATTGCAATCATCAAAGCACTTCTAACCTTGAGGAGTTTAAATTGTATTGCTTGAAAGAGTTTAGATTGTATTGCAAATTATTGTAAATTTTATTGTAATTGTAGGTTTAAGAACATTTATAGTAAAGAATTGTTTCTTTTTGTTGTCACTGATATTGTACTTTCTAAATACCCAACATATAATAAAAATATAAAAAAGTGTTATATGCTATGTAATTATTCTTGCAATATTAGAATAGATACAGCATACTGACTTGAAGTTTTTGTATTAAACTGACATTTTATATCTGACTTTGAAATTTTATATTAAAAAAATGAAACTAAGTACGAATAAAAAACTATCTGTGTTACGTCAAAACGAATGTGACTTTTGAATTCAGTGGCAAAAAATACATAATTAAACATTGAAAAATCTAAGGGGCAAGACCTTTGTTACATTGCGTAATATAATACATACTTACTACTTTGATTACATATTCAGAATTGCTAGCATGCGAGACATTTTTAGAAGTCATTTGAGCACCTAAAAGTGAAAAAGGTTAAATAAAAAAGTTTTTTTTACTTAAAAACACACTTCAAAAAAAAATAACTTTTTTTTTTTGCAGTTTTATAACATAATTAAAAAATATATATAATTAAATTAAAAAAAACACACACAATCAAATCAAAATACATATGAATTTTAAATATATTTAAAAAGTCCATTGTAACTGAATCAGTTTAAAAAAACTGCCACAAAAATCTGAATAAAAAAAAATATGCCACAAGCTAACACATTTTATTTATTTAAATACAAAAAATTATTTTAAAGATACATAACTAAATTTAAATTTTTGTATATGTGCTAATATTATTTCCAAAGTGTGAATCAAAAATAAAAAATGAAGAGAATTTTAAAAATTTAGAACATGAAATGAAATAAAAACTATAACAACAAATTGTCTATTATGTTCAAAGCTAGTTTGCACGTAGCGTTCTAAATGTAATAAGTATAATAGTATGGAAACTAAGAAATGATTGGTCAATTTTAAAACACCAAAGTGTGAAATTGTAGCTTGTAAAAGCAAGAAAATAACAATTTGACATTAAAAAAATGTTTTAAAATATGGTGTTTAAAAACTTTAAACATTTATAACTTGAAAAATTTAATAAATTTTGAACAAATTTTATGTAAACAGTTTTAGAATTTACTAATATGTAAACTATTGATACAAACACACACATTAATATATTTACACACACACACATATACACAAAAATATTTTTAGTTGATAGATTGCCTGCCCAAACCAAAACCCTTATTCAATGTAGCAGAATGTTCTACCTATTTGTCAGTCAATGCAGTAGTATTCCTCATGTGTTCTACCTATTTGTCAGTCAATGCAGTAGTACTCCTCGCATGTTCTAACTATTTGTCAGTCAATATAGCAGCACTCCTCGCATCTTCTACCTATTTGTCAGTAGATGTATATAAGTAGATGTATGTAAACAGTAAAAAAACAAAAAAACACTCAGAATGTTTTTACTTTTATTAAAAAACATTCCAGTCTATTTTATTAAAAACAGTCTATTTTATTAAAAAAACTTTTTTACTAAAAACATTCTATTAAAAACATTTTATCAGTCTATTTTATTAAAAGCATTCCAGTCTATTAAAAACATTCCTGTCTATTCCAGCAAAGGACTACTATATGACAGCAAAGACCATTATTTCTATCAAAGTTGAAGCGTTTTTAACGTTACAGTAATATTTTTTGAAAATCTCTTTCATTAAGCCAAACAAATGTGGTATTGTGAATTGTAAAGGAAATTATAATGAACTTAATAAGTGTCATGTTTTTAAATTACCTTAAGATAAAGTTAAGAAACAGAAATGGACTAACGTGCTTCCTCCACACAAAGATTTTCTTATAGAGCCATCTAAATTTTTTATATGTGAAAAACATTGGCCTGAAAATACAGAAATGATTAAGCTTCCTGGTGGCTATACTCGACCATTATGTGCAGTATTTTAAATGCTTCTTTTTTTTGTCTACCAACACGACGAAAAGATAAATTCATATGTATTTTTATGTCGAAGGATTTTAAAGAGAGCTTCATGACAAATTCTTTCAGAATTTGTCATGAAGCTTAAATAGTCTTGTAATAAAATATCGATCTTATATTACAAAAAACGTTAAAAAAAGTAAAGAACAATCATCAGAAAAATACTTTTTTGATAGTAGATGAGGTAAAAATCAGACCAACAGTTGCAAGTCTAAAGCAACTTCTATGCTATGTGTAATGATGAAATACTTACATGATAGACCTAGTTTAATGTTTTCTGTTACACCTGTTCACAAACTAACATCAATGTATCAATTCAGTGTTGTGAAAGAAGCTGCTGTTTTAGCTGAAAAAAATGGTACCATTATTTTAGGATCTGTAACTGTAATCATAAATCAATCAGCAATACTGCAAAATTTTCAAAAGAATTACTGACTTTCAGGCCATTCATCCATTAGATGATTAGCGTGTTTGGTTTCTTTTGTTTGATACAGTTCATCTTCTTAAATGTTTGCATAACAACTGGATTTCTGAAAAGAGTCAAAAATTATCTCTTGACAATAAAACTATTGGTTCCTTTTCTGATGTCAAAAACCTATATCATTATGAAAAAGAATTCTGAAGTCAGTTCCTAAATCCAATGCTGCTGTTTATCCTTCTAGACTTTAACTACAGAATGTGCAACATGTTTTAAAAATATTTAATAAGAAAGTAGTAGCTGCTTTGAAACTAAAAGGAGCTCATGAAACATCCTTTTTTATTCATCAGGTTTTAGATAGGTGGAATATTGTTAATGTTTCTGCAAAAGGGCAGAATATTAAACTAACAGACCACAACAGATCTGTGTAAGATAAAAATTCGAATTCATTCATAAAAATTCGCTCCAAATATTTTTAGAACTATTTAAATCTATGAAATCAGGACATAGACTCTGAGTTACAAAGTAAGTTACAAAGTGACAGAATTAAAAGAGAATTTTCTGTTTACAGACAATCAACAGGGGGCAAATGCTTTTATGGTAGCTGAGAATGTTATTTCTGCTTTCTGAAAAAATGCGAGGGTAAACTAGTTTATGCTGAGGATGAACCTATACTAACAAATGAAGCTAAAGATTTTATTGAAGGGTTTTCACAAGGATATTTAACAGTTCCTCATGAGTGTATTTATCAGCTAGTTAGAATTGGGTTATGTTTTGTGAAAAAAAAATAAACACAAAGCATGTTGTATTATCATTAAAAAATCTTTATAGGCATTTGGCTAATGTTCTTTTTGCATGGAATTCATAAAAAGGCACGCCTTGCCAAGTAATATTTATTTATAGATAGACTTAATTTAATTATTAATTTGTGTTTGTTGTTAATTTGCTTAGAGTTTTATATACTGACTTATATATATATATATATATATATATATATATATATATATATATATATATATATATATATATATATATATATATATATATATATATATATATATATATTTATATACTGACTTTTATATATATATATATATATATATATATATATATATATATATATATATATATATATATATATATATATATATATATATATATATACATAAAATAAGTTTAAAAAATATTTTACAATATTATAAAATCCTCAAGAGAATATTTGTTAATTTTTTGCAAATGAACTTTCAAAAGTTTTATTATGTTGACTTTTTATTCTTTTTAAAAAGGCTTTATAGTTGTTATTATTTTTTACTTTGTTATTAAGTTTTTAACAATACTAACTTATATTCACTGTAAAACTATTTTATAAATATTGGTTTTACAAAATATTTTTTAGTTGAATTTAATTTTATAAGTGTTTAGTAAGAAGTATTTAATGGCCTTCGCTAGCAAAGTCAGAAAATCCAGTTTGTCCTTGATTCCAGCCTATTTTTTTCCATTCAATTTTGCTTGAGTTAGAATTCATCATCAAGCTGATAGAAAATAGAGATCACACTCAAGATCATTAATAATGAGAAACAATACAGGATGAAGGATGGATTCTTGTTATTTTATTAATTATTTTGACCCAATTTTTAATTGGATGGTCAAAATTCTCATTTTTTTCTGTTTAGATTTTTATCTTGGTAATTGTTCTTCATGACTGAATTTTATATATACAAATATAACTTAATGCTTCAAAATTAACAAATTCGTATTCCTTTTAAAACAATTTTAAACAAAAAAAAAATACTTTTTTAAAATGGAAACATTTAACGTTTAAATTACTCTACTTTAAAAAACATTTACAGTTTAAATTAATCTCACACGCACAGATTTTCATTTAATCAAAAAAGGAAGTTTGGCAACATCCAAGTAAATTAATTTTTTTTTAAAAATCGAAACATTTTTTGTAAAATATTTAAAAAATTCAAACTGAATAAATTGTACTAAAAGAAATTGTTTTGTGAAATGTAAATGTAACAATTACTTATAGTACATACAAATAAGTTTTTACTAAAAATGTATTTTAAAATGTTTTGCTTGATTCCTTGATTAATAATAATAAAAAAGCACAAACAAGCAATTAACAGTTTTAAATTTATTTAAAAATATATTTATTCATATCATAATGATTTCACAAATGGCAAGAAAAACTAAGAGAAAAATAAAAGAAAAGATATAAATGATATATCAAATATAAAATAAAAATAAATAAGATAATGAAAAAACCTCCTGTATATGAATTAAAAGAATGTAAAAAGAGAGCTGAAAATATCATTATTTATGGAGTGTCAGAACACAATAAAGTTTCTTTAGATGATAAAATAGCTAAAAAAAAAAAGCGAAAGTAATGGAAATATCTACAGAAATTGGAGTTCAAGACATAAATTTTGAAAATGTGAATTGATTGATAAGTAAAATTAAAACCAAACCAGGTCCATTTTTGGTTTACTTAGCTGATTCTAATCTTTAAAACAAAATACTATATATATATATATATATATATATATATATATATATATATATATATATATATATATATATATATATATATATATATATATATATATATATATATACACACCTAACACCTAACACACCTAAAAGTGTTTAAGGTCAGCATAAAATTGCTGAATTTTATATCAAATTTTTTTTTGCTGACCTCTAAAAGAGGTCGGCAATAGTTACTTGATCCCCAAGCAAATTTGATGCCTAGTGATATTTTAGCACTGTTCCAATGGTTGACTTTTTTTTGTGAAATTCAAGAAAAAGGCTTCTAATTCAGAAAACGCCTAACAATTTTAAAAAAACTATTCTATTTTGTGACATCAAAACTTTATTTTATGCGTTTGAGGAAAGTGATAACAACTTCAGCATGTTTACTTTATGATTATACTGCCTAAATAGGTAAAATATTTGTTCTTTTACCCAATTAACACCATGATATTGATATTCAAATTGCAACTTGTCTAGCCTAAAATTAGATTTTTATAAAAAACATAGACAGTTGGTCCTATAAAATGGGAAATACTTGATCCTAGAATCAAGTATCCCATGTTTGAATAGAAATATATTGAACTGCACTTCATTATATGAGAATGCATATAGTATTTTAAGCTAATCCTAAGAGTTATCAATGTAGATAAGGGCTATTTAATTGAGGTAGAAAAACTGGGTTGCTTTTACATACTGATACCACTGAAAAAGTAAAACTCTTTAAATTTCCATCAAGTTTACTTTATGTCTTATGAATAAGATAGCTAAGGAAATTCAAAAGAAAAAAGCTTCAAAAACTTAGAACGCCATCAACTCATTAATGATGTATATCCTAAGCCTGTCAACTACATTTTAGTTTCCTACCAAAAAAAAGTTGATTTGTGTGAAATAATAGTTGAAAAAATAATTGAGTTTTGTGTCTTAAACAAAACACATCAAAAGTTAAATCCTTGAGGAGGATGGGACCAGTGGGAAGCTGTTTCACTTTTCCAAAATTAGAGGACATCAGCAAAGTGAATTTATTTTTTTTATAAGTTATTCACATCAGCGATGTGAATGATTTTATATGCCTGGGCTGGCATATAAAAGCTGCTGCAGCCCAGTGGCGGATTGAGGTTTAGTGTCGCGGGGGAAGGCAAGTCAATAAATAGGGGCGACTGGGGTTGCCTTCAGTAATTTAATCTTATATATATATATATATATATATGTTAATTGTTTTAGGGGGCACCGTTAGACCGTTCTAGGGGGCATGGGGGGGCAGCTCGCCACCCCCTCGCCCTATACTAAATCCGCCACTGCTGCAGCCATTCATCAATGGAACAACTAAGATAGCTGGCATTATAAAATTTAAACATGGATTTGACACTAATGTTTTGTTAAATAAATATTGTTTTTTTTGGCTTAATTTATTTATTTTATTATTTAATAAAGTAGGTAGTTCAGTTTAAATCTTTGATTTAATTACTTATGTTATTTTAATTAGTAATTTATTTATGCTAGATCAAGGTTCTCACTTGTAGAAATTAAGTATCTCTATATAGACAGGGATATTTGAACCCCAGGGATATTTGAATCTTCACCTTCCTCTCATCTTAGTACACCTTTTATCTGGAGTCCAAATAAATCTTTTCATACCAAGTTATTGGCATTTAGATAAGAAACAAAGTTTTATTTTGTGTGAAATTTTTCTCTTTTTTTGACCACAGTTTTATCAACAAATCCATATATCAAAAATTTGCTACTAACAATATTACAAGATTTTGTTGAATTGTTTAATTCTCATAACTTTTTCACCTTTACAATACTAAATTGAAGGGGTTTTAACTGATATACAAATACTAGAATATTTGATGAGTTAAAAAAATCAGTCCATGTACCTAACAAAGTCTTTCTAATATTGTTGGCTTTTAATAAATTTAGTTTTTTAAAATTAAAAAAAAATTTAAAATGAATAAAAAAATTATTTTTAAAAGATATAGTTAGTTGTAAGCTTTGCTGCCTCTAAAACTGAAAAAAATAATAATAAAAAGAAAACAAAACTTTACAAAACATGTTCTCTTCAAAAGATGTTTTGAAAAATCCAGAATAAAAAATATTATATATTTGAAATCATTCATAATCTAAAAATATATATATTGTTTCTACATACCAGAATAAATAAAGCCAAAACCTCCTTGACCAATTTTTGGTCCAAGTTTCCAAGTATTCTTAATAAGATCCGTAAGAACAAGACCTGATGGCAGTGACTGGATCATTCCTTTAGGATCAGTTTTTTTTGGTTTTGAAATACTTTTTTTAACTTTAGATTTGGGTGGCATTTTTGATCTGTTATAGTAAAAAATACTATTATGCTTAGCACTTATTTTAAAGTTGTTTTTAATATGCTGTTAGATAGGTTTGGCAGATTACACTTAGCATTTTACCGCGCGAAGTTTATGACGGGTCCAAACATTGTTTGGTTGAAATAAAATACGGCGGCTTTTAAACACATCAAGATGTTAGATTTTTAGCTATCGCTCAAACCGAACAGAATATAAAGGGAAAAAAACTAATTTTAAAACCTAAATTATGCTTGCAAACAATAAGCTTTTTTCAGGTTACTGTAGGTTGTATTTCTAACAGAGTTAATAAAAGGGCTCTATAAGAGCGAATTTTCTCAACGAAGAGGTTGTAAGTATATATACATACATATACAGTAATATACATATACTGGATCGTCCCTAAGGAAAAGGGGCAACCAGGGCCTGCTGCCCTGGGCGCCGTGGACTTGAGGACGCTGCATTAAAGTTGACATATCAAATTTTTGCTCCAATTTTTTAAGTCTCCCCAAATAGTTCTAAAGATCATTAGTAAACATTTTGATAATGCATCAATTTCATCAAAGGCAAAGTCAATGTAGATGCATATGGAAGATTTATCATTTTGAGCCAAATAGTCTGGCATAATCATTTGTTGGAAATAATTTATTTATACTTTGCTGTGGCCTCACTTCCCCTTCCCTCACCAAATTACTGCAATCTCTGTATTTGTAATAATCTGAAAAATCTTTTTGGTTAAAAGGTGTTCAACCAAAATTTAAGATAATAAAAAAAAATTATTATCCTTGAATATTTGAATAGTCAAAAAATAGTAAAATAAAGTAATAAAATTAATGTCTAATTAGCAAAAAATCAAACAAAAAACAATTGCTCGCCGTTTTTTTAGTTGTAGCTTTTTTATTCATGCGTTTTTCTCATAATTGAGCAATCGCTCAACATTTTTTAGCAAATGCTCATGAGTAAAAACTTTCGCACACAAATATATTAATTGCTCAAAATTTTTACTCACGTAACGTTGAGCAATTACTCTTTAAAATCAATTTACGTGAAAATTTATATAACTTCAATTGCATTTTTTTATTCACCCAACCGAAGGACTCGTTTTACTCGCTTTTAAATGAAAAAATGTTTCTTTGTTTAGGTATAATACAATATAATACAATTAAATCTTGTAGAGGAGAGTGCTCTTAAAAGTGCTTCTCAGGTGAGACGAGCCCATATTAAATCTCTTGCTTAGATAATAACTTAAATTCAATTGCAAAATATTCTACCGCAGACCGTACACATTTATGAAAACTATCAGTTTTTATCATTATTTTAAAAAGCGTATTTGAAAAGAATACTTTTAAATATTGTTGAGTTAGATATTTTTTATTGTTAAAATAAAACACGTTCAGTTGTATTGTTTTTTTATTTTGGTATTTTCTAATAATAATTTTGAAAAATTTAACATGTTATCTTTTTATTTGCACAAGATTTATACGGCAATAAACTAACAATTTATGTTTTAAATTAAAAAAATAATAACACACTCTAAATTGTTTAAAACGTGCTCCAGGATCCATTTCACCCGTGCATGGGTAGCATGAGTAAAACGCGTGCTGTACGAAAGATTTGAAAGATTTTGTTTTGCAAGTTTATGAAACGTTAATGTCCATAAAACTGGCCTCCCTGCCTTTCGAAATAAGCCATTAAAAATGCTTACTGTTTGAACAAAAAAGCAGGTTTGATGCCTGATCTCTGCTGAGCATGAGCAGTTTCCAGTGGGCGCAGGACCAAAAAAAGACGTCTTTGGAACGTTCAAAAGATATCCAAAACGTTCGAAAGACGTTTAGAAGACGTCTTTTTTACGCACCGTGCCCACTGGGTTGGTTACAGTTGAAATCTGCTTGAAGCAACTTTGAACCACCCCTTTTCAATATTTACCGATAGTTTCCATGAGGTCTGAACTAATGAATGCTGCGCCACCTAGTTCGAATGCTGTTTGTCATCTGTCAGGTTCGATGCAAAGTAATATATTAGTCACTAGGGTCAACCACCTTTTTAAAGCATGAAAAACTTGTTTTTCTAATTTAAGATGGGTTTGTGAAGTGCATCGCCGTGGTTCAAATCATTTCGCTTGCGTATTTTTTTTTTTTTTTATACTTGTTTTTTTAAAATACAAAATAAAGCATTTTTGAAGTTCTATAGATATTACATTTATAAAGATACTATATAATATAACAAACGAAAGGGATAGATTTTTTAAAACGCCTAAAATTTCTAAAAACATCAAAACACATAAATTTTTGTGCATTTGTGATGATAGAGATACTTATATTGTTAATGTGCTCAGACAGTTACGGATGGTCTAAAAATTGTCTAAAACTTAATAGTTAGTTCTACTAAGTTTCGGATAGTCTGAAAATTATCTGAAACTTAATAAAGAAAAATTTGATAAGCCCGACCTGGGCTTATCAAATTTTTTTGGGCTTATTGAATACATATTTTCGAAGAGTCCTAAAAAAGTTAATAAAAATTATCAGCTTTTTTTAGCCTTAAGAAGATGCTTCGAGAAAATCGAAACGAAAAAATTAAAAAAAATTAATAGGAGAAACTCTTTGTAAAAAAATTTTTACAAAAAGTTTCTCCAAATAATTTTTTTCAAGTTTTTTGTTTCTTTTTTCTCGAAATAATTAATAAGCATCTTCTTAAGCCGTTTTGAAAAACCGCTTCAGTATGGGCGTTTGAATTTTTTTCTTTTAAGGCACGACTGTCAGGGTTGTGGGTTCAAATCCTTATTGGAAAGATTTTTTATTTTTAATTTTAATGTTTTACTTCTAAGTAGTTTTGTGTTTCCAAAATTATTCTTGTTTATTTATAGTTATGTTTATTATCTATTTTTATCTTTCAAAGTTTCATAAAATAAGTGTATCATTCTAAATTATAAATAATTAAATATAATATTAATAATTGCAATATAAATGTTAACAATAAAAAAAATAATAACAACAACAATAATAATATGAATAAAAAACATTACAAATAATAACTTTATTTAGTTGATATCTTTTTTTTATAAATGGTATTATTTCTAGTGAAAAATACATTGATTTTTTATAGAAAGCTTGCCATATTGATATTATTGAAAAAGAAAGAGCACAAGTTAAAAATTTCAGTTTTTTTAAGGATTTATGGATAAATATAAGAACTTATTTATTTATAATTTTTAAGGATAAATATAAGAATTTATTTCGTAACACTTATTTTACAGGACTATTTTACGTCTGATAACTATTCTGTTTAGATCTAATTATTTTTAACTCAATAATTGTTTCATTTGTACATCGACTGATTTAGATTTAGTGGCAGTGGAATATAGTGACTTAAATAGGGGCAGTTTGATGCTGTTACAATTTGATGATGCCGATAACTAATGATTTTCCTGGTCCATGTTTTAGACCTAGTACAGCCCTAACTTGAACCCCCGCCCCCCGAAACAACACTAATGACACTAAACCACTGAGCTATCAAAGATATGTGTTTAGAAGATTACACGGCACCATTTATAAAATTTTTTTTTTATAAATGGTGCCGTGTGAATTCAGCCCCTAATATCTTTTTTTTAAAGGTTGTTTTTAAGGTAAGGCATCCATACACCTTTGATTTTCAGATTTTAAATTGTTGAGCATCAATTGAATTCCTGAAAAAGATATTGCTTCTAAATTTGGATTGTGTAAATCTAGTAAACTATGTTTTAATTTTTTAAGAATCCCAATTTAGAACACTCCTAAACAAATGATAGATTCTACAGAGTTAAACAATCTAATCTTAAACAATAAATTTTATATATTAAATTTATTAAGCAACAATTTATATTTATAAAATTTATTGCTTAACATTAAAGTGTTTTGTTTACAAAATAAAATCATTAGAAACTTAAAGTTAACTACTTTTACTTAAATATTTCTCATAAATATTTTAAATGTTTAGGTCTCAGCTGCAGAACTTTTTAACACTTTTACATTAAAGACTCCTCAGTATTAAACAATACAGCGTTGAAAGGTATACTCTGCAGCGTTAAAAGGTAAACTCAGCAGCGTTAAACAATACAGCAGTTAAAGGTAAACTCTGTAGCGTAAAATATTACAACGTTAATTAAATAGTTGTAATATTTGATTCTAAAGTATTGATCTCCCTATGAAAAAGTATTGATCTCCCTATGAAAAAGTATTGACCTCCCTATGAAAAAAATTTTATCTGATTTTTTTTTATAAATTTTAAACTAAAACTAGTTTTATCATTAATAGATGTTGCTAATAAGTGTTGTTGTTGCTAATAGATGTTGCTGGCTATTGCAATATCATAAAGTTAATATATGATGCGTCTTCACGGTTTATAGCTCCGTTCTGCTGAGACCACAAAATTTGTTGCTTGCGAGAAGGCGTTTTTGGTCAGCAGGCGACTATTTAACTGTTCAATTAATACTGGCTTGGTGGTAAGGTATATTTTGAAAGAGTTTTATAAGAACTAAATTACAATTTAATTTTTCCGTAATTTAATTATCTAAAACACATAATAAGTAATGCTATGAAATTCACACGCCGGAGATGGCATAAACATCTTATACTAAGTAATGTTTCAACATATACCAGAAATAAACAGAAACAAAGCAACCTTTAAACAGTTTTTTTACTGTGAGATATTCAATGTATGCTTAAGGTACAGTTTATGCTAATCTTACTTCATACTGCAAAGCAGTTTTTAAATATTAAACTCGTCTCAAACTCTCTGTTGGAAATTATACAGAAAATTGTTTTTGTCACACTCGACTGATTTGCTAAAGATTTGGTTCTTGGTACTAGATTAACTTATGCATGCTTTCAGGCATGGTTTTGGAGACAGATTTATTAAATTAGATATGTCAAATGAAAGGCAACCATACATCTCATTTAAGTAAATACAACTAACCGTAAACTTATAATAAATTCATTTGATGTGTTCATTGGCCTACATTTTAAAAGTATAGGTACTAAGTTTACTTTGATTTTTTTTTAAGTGGTGCACTTTATAATATAATTGTTAGAAATGAAATGTTAGTAAGCATTTTAATGTTTTTTCCAATCTGACATGGAAACAAGCAATATTGCTTTAGCAGTGAGACAAATTAGAGACGTTTTACTCTGGGTTGTTTTATTTTTTACAGTCCTTTATTTATTTGTTTTAAATGTGAACTCAAATGGTGGTGGTTTCATAGAAGTTAATAAACCTTCAGAAAAATTATTGTGTCAATCAGTGCGCAAGCTGCAAGAACGAGATAATTCTTTATCAAATACAAATATTAGTTTGCTGCTTGAAGTTCAAGAATTAAGACAAAAAGTGGCAATGTATGAACGCTTAAATAGACTGTTGGAGTTCAACTCTTGGATGAGTCAGCATGGAAGCAAAACGCGCCAAAATATTTTAATTTTATCTAGCGAGTACTGCGGAAGCTCTTTACTTGGAGAGTTGTTTAACCAGAATCCTCAAATATTTTATTTATACGAACCTCTAAAAGCTCTAGATTATTACAAAGATAATCGTCCTTCAGATGTATACGATTCTATGGTTACAAATCAAATTGATGGAATTTTTCAGTGTAAGTTTGACGATTTATCATATTATACAAATTACATGTCATTTCAATATAGTTCTCTGAAAAGCCGACTTGCAAGTCGAGCTTTATCAACGCCGCCGTTATGCCCCGAAGCTAATGCAAGATCATTTTATAGCATTCGTATGTGCACTCCGCTAAAACCCAAGACTACATCTGCAATATGCAAATTGCATCAACATACCGTTATAAAAACAATACAATTTTCGGACGTTCATAAGCTATCATATTTAATGGATAAAGATGGAACAGATTACTTGTTAAAAGTAGTACATTTGGTTCGCGATCCTCGTGCAATTGTTTTTAGCCACTTCCAAAGAAACTTTAGCTCTTCCAATTTTTCTATAAGTTTAAAAGAATATTCAACAAAACTCTGTTCGCAAATGTTACAAAACATAAAATATGCTATAACAGCACCTCCTTGGTTACAAGGAAAATATACTTTGCTACGATATGAAGATCTAGGTACAAATCCTCATCAGATAGCAGAATTAGTGTACAAGTTCGCAGGAGTACCAATAGTTTCACAAGTTCGAATGTGGCTCGATAAACTTGCAGACGGAGGAGCTACCCAACGCCCAACACAATTTGGCTCATCTACGTCTGGATCTGTTGAAGAATTTAATGCAAGGAACCTTACACAATCGGTGCATAACTGGCGTACGCAATTGCAATACAAAACAGTTAGAGCAATTGAAACTGAATGTTACGAAGTAATGAACTTGTTGGGATATAAAATTGTTGACGACGAAGAAGAATTAACAACTCTAAACTTATCTTTAGTTGATTAGTATTTGATTCTCTTCACTTTTTTTTAATAGCAGTTATGGGTATTTAATTAATTGCGATTTAGTTGAAAATATAATTTTACAGTTTTAAAGTACCATACTGCTTGAGGAGAAAAAAAATTAAATGAAGATTTAGAGATTAGCGAGATCCTCAAGGGATTTACTTAACGAGAGGTCTCTTGTTACCTTTTATTTAATTGTCTTCTCGTTACCGTATAAAAAAATGTTTCTTGTTACTGAATAGCAAATCGTTATCTTATTACTGTATTGAGAATCGTCTTTTGTTGCTGTATTGCTTTGAACTTGTAAAAATACATGTACTTAGTTCAAATAATCGTTCGCCGTGTGTTTAATTAGTCATTTTTTATATAAAGTGTTTGTATAATCTATTTTTTTATATAATTTTTTTTTAACTATTTTTAAATCAAATTGTTTTGTGGGTAAAAATAGGATTACAACAAGCTCTACGCACAAAAAAATTAGGGATGCATGATAGAAACAATTTCTGTAACTATATCTGCATAAAAATGCGGCCGGTATATAATATTTTACGTTTTAAAAATAAAAAATTTATAATATTTTACGTTTTAAAAATAAAAAATTTTCTTAACAGCAAATTTGATTGCGCATATTTTTTTTTTGTATAATTGTTGCATAACACATGATAGGTAGGGAAAATCGTATTCTTATTAAAAAACGTATTCTTATTAATTAAAAAAATATATATGTATTTATGAGATGTATTATAATATATAAAACTATATTATTCTTGTATGTAAATATTTTAATATATTTTCTTTATTTTTAATAAACGCATTAGTTTTTTAGCTATTTGACTGGAATATTCTATATAGTACTTATGAAAAATATTTCAAATTTCCATTTTCACCCTTCTCTTATTTTTTATTTCAATAAATACATTTCAGAACTCTCCTTCTAAAAAATTCGCTCTTCAACTAGCTTTACACCTTTTTATGAAGAAATTAAGAGGACGAAAGTTCTAATTAAGAAATATAAAATGTAATCAGGGGATTGGTGCGAAAAAAAAAAAGTCCTCGTTTTTAAAAATTTCCTGACTGCCTTATCGACATTTGCCGACTGACTTGTCAAAAAGGTTCAAATTCGTCAAGTAAATGAACAAAAAAATCATTTAGGTGGGGTAGGGGGTTGTCACACACCCCACACACTCTCCCCCACCGCGCCGGCCTTGGAGGTAAAGGCGAACACAAAAGTTGTAATTAAAAATTAGGTGTAATTGAGAACACAAAAGTTGCAATTAAGAAATGTAAGATTTTATCGAGAATACGAAAGTCGTAAATAAGAAATATATGATTTTATTGAGAACGCAAAATTTTTAATCAAGAGACGTAGAATGTTATTGAAAAAACAAAAGTTGTTATTAAAAAATGTAAAATGTAATCAAGCATACAAAAGTTTTAGTTAAGAAACGTAGGATGTAATTGAGAACATAAAAGTTTAGAAAGGTTTATAATGTATTTAGTCAGAAAAAAGTATTTGTAGTTTTAGTTTTGTATATTTTTAATAAATGATAATATATTATCAATAAAATAATAACTCATGAAACTTATTTAAATTCATTTTTAAAAAGGCCTTTATTTAGTATCTTGCTGTTTAATAAATTAAGTTATAAAGGAGTTTCACGTTAAAAATATTAACAAAAATTTAAGAAATAGACTGAGACTCAACGAAGATTTGGATGACGCAATACCACCTATCAATCATATCAACCAATCTTTTCATAGAGGCACATAATATATGAGAGGTCAAGGATTGCATGCTCAGTTGAGTGTAGCTTTTGAAAACCATATTGACCTCTTTTGATAATTTTGTTAGTTTTTTAATATTCATTTAACTTATTATAGGTTATTCGCTCTAGAAGTTTTGAGAATACCGAAAGGATTGAGATTGGTCTATAGTTGTTTAAAGAATTAGTTTCTCCTGATTTATAGATTAAATAAACTTCAGATATAAGATGTGAAATTTCAAAATTCAACTCAAAGATTTAAAATTTACAAACAAATTTAAAAAAAAATCTTATAATTAAGGTAACCTGGGGCAAAGCAAAACACTTTCAGGGAGAATGTTCATAACTTGAGAAGTATCACGTTACACAACAAGAAATTTTGCAGGCCACTAGCACGTTATGTGTTTAACGATCTCTTAAATATTTGTGGTGATAGGTTGGAACATTTGTACAAAATAAAACTCAAAATGGCAACAACTACCCTATCTTACTTTCCTCAAACCCTGGGGCAAAGTGAGACAGATTTTATTTGAAGAAAAACAAAGTAAAAATATAGTTTTCAATAAATATTTTTTAAGACTTTGATAATTATTTTATAATGTAATTTTTCCTTTTAAATCAAAAGACTTGATAGAAAAAATATCAATCAAAAATGTAAAATAACAAAAAATAAAAAATAATATCAATAAAAATATGCATATGCAAAGTTTCATTTTAGTCAACAAATTTGAATAAAATCTTTACACTTAAAAAACAAACATCGTTTAATGTACAGTCTTCGTGTACCCATACAGTACATACACAACCAGCTATCCAGTTTGGGTATTATTGCATCATTTTCCTTGACAAACTGAACAAAACCATTCCTCTTCATTGTTTACATCATTTTTCATCAAGTATTTCATAAATTTTCTTTTCTTTTTGTTCTTTTTTATATTTCTCTTATTTAATTTATTGTCATTGTTCTTTTCCAGTAATTTTTTTTTCTTATTGTTCTTTTTTTTTTTCCTATTGTTTTTTTCTGATTGCTCTTTTCATAAAATGATGATAGCAAGTAAAACTTGCCAAGTTTATAAACTTGCTATTGTAAACGTTTACTTTGACGATTTATTAAGTTTATAAACTTGCTTTCCTTAACGTTTACTTTGACGATCTTTTTCAGTAACTAGCGTTGTCGCACTTTCTCCGTGAAAGTGAAGTTATATATTTCTAAAATATCTTTGAAACAAAATAATCTGACATAAAAAGAAGAATGGGTGCTGAAATTAACAAATATATAAATACAAACTTAATAATAAGTTTGTTCTGTGGTAAAAAATGGCAGCGTACGTGGATTTTTTCCTCAAAAAAAAAAAAAAAATTGATTTTTTAATCAAATTAACGCCACTCGTAAGGTTTAAACCCACTTTTCTATGTCATATTATAGGAAAAAACTGATGGAAACTACTTTAAAACATTAAAAAAACATGAAACTTTTAATATAATAAACCAAAATTACTTTAGCATTTCAAAAAAAATCTGTACAATGCTAGAAAGCCTAAATGTCTCACTTTGCCCCCGTGTCTCGCTTTACCCCAGGTTACCCTACTTACTACTAAAAATTAAAAGTAAGAAAAATCATTGAAAAATCCCATAGAAATTAATATTTCGCAAAATTAAAGTTTTTTGCTTGAAACTTATTTTAATGATTTTATTATATTAAAATTTTTTGAAACAAATCCAATAACTTAGATCCTCAAAATCCTATTCAATACTTTGTACATTTATTTAATTTCTTTGGTAACTTGAAGGAAATTGATTGATTTTTTCTTAGAAAATAATTTTAATTTCAATTTTTTTTCAAACTTACAGATAAAGTTAGCTGGAGTGAAGTTATTTTTATATTTATAAATTAAAACTACACAATTTCAAGATATAATTGGGATTTTGAAAGTTGTATTTTTAAGGTTGTAATTGAGAAACCTAAGAAGCGAATTAGTACATGAAAGTTGTAATTAAGAAAAACTTAAGATGTAATTAATATAAAAGTTGTAATTAAGAAAGTTAAGATGTAACTTAAAACATAAAAGTTGTAAATAAGAAACCGTAATATGTAGTTCAGAATAGTTGTGATTAAGAAACGTTTATAATGTAGATTTTCGTGCATGTTTATAATGTAGATTTCTTTTTATTTTTAGTTTTCTTTACATACCTCCCAGCCGGCACAACTCAGAAAAAGTTATGCTTGGTTTCTGTTGCGTGTTTAAAATCTTCTAAAACAAAAAGAGCAACACATGTCAAAAATGGTTTTTATTCGATGAAATTAACTATTACTATTTACCATAATTACCAGTTCAATTAATAATGGTTTCACCGTTACGGAAACGTAGTATTATATTATAATAGTTTTCCGTAAGGAATGTGAAACCACTGATAAAAGCAAATTATAATTTGCACATATAAAATGCCGGTTGGGCTTGTAATTTAAGGTTGGATCCTAATTTGACCAAGGTGGCCATATGGGTTGGTTTTCAACAGGTAATAATATACTATTGATAAAATAAAATCGGGTATCTTTCTTTTTTTTTTGATTGTGAAAAATTCAATTGAGAAATTCATATCAAAAATAAATAAAACAGAAAATTTATTTACAAAATAATATACAGATTTAAATTAAATTTTGCTTCATACAGCCAAACTATCTGATGATCATTTGCGGTATGTTCAATGATAATCCTAAGAAATTCAGCTCTTTTTTATTTGTTTTTATTTCTGTTCATTGTAGAAGACTCCTTATGCACTTTTCTAATGAAAATAATCTGCCTTCGAGTTAATCGTCGATTATTGTTGTGCTGAAGCTTATATCAAATTGTCTTAATATTTTTGTTTTGATGGCCACTAATTTTAATTTACAGTCACTTTTAAACCAAGTTAACGTTTCTTCGGTTTGATGATCAGTCAATTTTTTTAGTTTAAAATCACCTCTTCCGACCAAATTTGAATTTTCGCTGAATTTTACCTAATTGCAAGCTGTTTTATATTTGACACATAAAGTTTGCGATAAAGTCACCCAATCGTTATTTCGCTGAGCACATTCAACAAATCTTCTTCTGTCATTCGGTAAAGATAAAATTTTCTTTCAATTTGTTTGGTTGTATATATTTTATGCCAACAAATTGATTCTGGTTGTTTTAGAAGTAGATGTAAGAAAATTTGGTGAAAGCAATGCTGACACGGATTCATTTTAACAGCAGACTTTCAAGTCATAGTATATTGACAAAAAAAACAATGATATTTCAATTCAATTGTTATTGCTAATGCATTTAAATGCTTAATTTGATATTATTAACTTATTAAAATTCATGTTTGAGAACACGGTTAGCACGGATCCTTATAATGCCTACCTAGCTGTCCCAAGAACACCACTTATACGGAAAGATAGCGTACACATTAAGGTACCCTGTAATACAAATTTTGAAATCATTTAATTTTGTCCGCAGAAAATAATTTAATTTAAATGTTCAAATTAAGTCAAATTTTGGCTTCATAGTGCGCCAATAAAAACACTTGCAGAATTTGAACCACTCAATATAATTTGATAAAAATTAG